CACTGGCGGGCCGGATTTGGCCCGTGGGCCGTAGTTTGGAGACCCCTGCATTAGAGCATAATATGTATATAGAGATGTCGAAAAGAAATAGCGGTACATGCGAATCCCAATGAATTCTGGACGGGATCCACGATAGCAGTCGACCAGTTCGAAATCAGAGGTGTGTTCACGACGGAATATCAACTATTTGATGATACCACTCTACATTGACGTATCCCCACTCGCATTGTCCGTGTGTTTGCTAGACCAATTCATCAGTATTGAAATGTTAGAGGATTTTTGTATGTCTGAAGGAAGAGACTTTACGACGTCAAACCGCCACTGTCTGTGAGAAATTATTAAAAAATTTCTCTTTTGAAAAAATAAGACCTGTGTTTCCTTTTTACCATAAGGGCTTTGAAAATGAAATACATGCTTTGAATAAAAAAAAAAACGACGAAGCTAATGCAATAAAGGTCAAATGAATCACCTTGTTGTACCAAAAAATAGCTAAATCTCTAACTCATGCCGTACAAGGTTCACTGGCTTCAACAGCGGCACATAGGTACTGTTATTTCTCTATTGTTACTGTCTTCATTAATTGGCTTTACACGTGGTTTATCCGAATTTTCACACTTCCGGGAGTTCTGAAAATATCCACATTTCTGTCTGTGACAGAACCGAACAGAATTGATTATTTAGATTTATTTAGATGTTACGAAACTCTTCAATATACTCAATACATCAGAATAACATAACAAAAATTAATATCACTGAAACCAACAAAAAATCGTAAAAAACTCGAGCAAAAACTTCCGTACAAACCCAGACGTAGAGATAGGGGGGCGTTATTTAGGTCGGATCGTATCGTTGTTCCTGTAGAACAACAAATAAGGAACCGAGGAATCGTCATACCTCAACCAACGGTTGTAGTCGACGTGGAAGGCATAGTTATGTAGTGTCCCATTATGATATTTATGCCGTCGTGGTACACTTATCGGTGTATTGTCAAAGTTGGTCATTCCATTTACATATCCATTATTTTTTGATACTCTAACCTTCCACACACCACTGGAATCATTGCCCGTAACAGATTTATTGTATTTCGAATCGAGTGGCCACCAAAATACCATTTTAAAATTTGTATCTTCTCTTCCTTCGGGAACGTGAAACTTTTAGAGTTCACAAGAAATTATTTCAATCGTTATGGACTGCCTGCTACCTAATGCATAACAATAATAATAATTTTTATTTCAAAAATATGCCGACTATTACAGCTTGTACACAGACAACAAAGAATGAAATAATGTCAACAAAAAAAAAAAGAAAAAGACTACATATACTCATAAATATATACACTTCTATAATTCAGTTTGGTCTAAATAGTCACTAACACTATATGGTTCTAAATCTATTAAATACTCTGGTAACAAATCAGTTGCCTGAGTTCAAACGCCGCAAGAAGGGAAACGGTGGTTCAATCAAATGGTTAATATTCCGTGGCAAATAAATCTCTAGTTTTAAACTGGTAAGCTGCTATCGCGAACTCCGTACAGAATACATTACGATTCGTATGTACCGATATTTCTTTTTCACATCTGTATATCATAGTAAGAAAGATTTATTTGTTGAAGATTTTCATTTTTTTTTCACTCAATATATTACGAGGTATATTCAAAAAATAACGCAGAATTTTTAAATTTCACCGGTTTGGAGGGTCCGATTGTCCTTTTTTTATTGTTTGTATGAATGCCCTTGAAGTATGTCAACATTTTCAACTGTATTCATTGTTAACAAAGTTTTATGGTGAGTCTGCTATGAGTAAAAGTGTTTAAGAGTGGTATTAGCATTTCTAAAATGGTCGTTGAAGATAATGAACGCCCCGGATTCCCCGATACATCATTAACCAATAAAAATGTATGAAAAGTGAAAGAAAAAATTACGGACGAATAGAAGCGACGAACAGAAGTTGCTCAGGAGTCATTAAATGAAGTCAACGATGATGCAGAATCACTGAAGTATGTTATAACAGGTGACGAAACATGGGTTTGCAGATATGACATCGAAACTGAGAATCAATCGTTCCAGTGAAGGCATTCTGGCTCGTCAAGACCGAAAAAGGCTCGACATGAAGGTTATGCTCACTATGTTCTTCGATTTTAATGGCATAGTGCATTATGAATTCTAGTCACGAGGTCAAATGGTCAATAAGGAGTACTATCAGGATATCACTGCAAGCCTTTATTCATCAGCCACAAAATATTAACTGTCACCTGTTTCTACATAATGGAAACAGTATGCTCAATTCATTAAAATAAAACTAGCATGTACACTCCCGGAACAAATTGTCACAACACAAGACAGAACCAAATGCTTTACTTACGTATTCCAAAATTCACCTTGACTCAGCATTTTCTTATTTATGAAAGTATTGAAGTATACAATCATTTTCCTAACCTTTTAAAAAATAGCACAGATATCAAAAAGCTCCCAAGTACAGTTAAAGATCTTTTAATCAAAAAAGCTTATTATCTGATTCATGAATTCTACCATGATAACCTGTAAATTCTACTTGATTTTTCAATGTTCACCTAAACTCATCTGTCTTCCTAATGTTTTATTTGTGAAATTGCTATGTTTGTTTTTTTTATATTTTATGTCATGTATTGTATTTTGTATTCTTTATATTTTATGACATTCATTTAATTTTTTTACAAGACGTTGTCAATAAGATACTAATCTTCTAACAATAAAGCATATATTGATTGATTGATTGATATCTATAAGTTCAACGCCGTGGAGCAATCCGAAAAAAAAAGCTCAAGTTTGTAAAAAAAATAATTCATGTCTTTTGCACCACGATAATGAACCTGCTTATACTCCATTGGTGAACGACTTTTAAAAGGTCGTCATTTTACAAGCTTATATGACATTGAACGCGCATAACTGATAGAGCCGAAGGTTATCCCAAATATCGAGTTTGAGAAGTTTTTCGTGGATCGGAAGAAGCGCTGGCACAAGTGGATAATATCTAATAGGGATTATTCTATTTTAAAGGCAACAACATTAATGTAGACGAATAAATATTGTTTTCAAAAAACGAGAATTCCCGTTATTTTCTGAACATACCTACCTCTTATTCTACAGATTACTCCAATTTCGAAATTTAGTGCATATATATATATTTTTCAATTATATCAACTTCAGGCAGATTGTCATACAAACAAAGCAAATGCTGAATTTCATCCCAATTTCTGCTAAAAGAAAGCACAAATAGTAAACTTGGTACTTCCCTTAAGAAGAAAAAATGAAAATGAATTGAAATATCTGATAAATATGAAAATTATAAAGAAAACTTGACAAAAATAAAGTTTAACACATGTGACACCTGAAAGACATCGCCATGTTATAGTTTGAAAATACATCATATTTTATATTTTAATTTTCACTGTTCAATAAGTTAGTCTAAAGTACTTGATTTAATTTTAAATGAAGATAAGACATAATTGTTCTCATATTTACTTGAAGTTGACGAAATTTCTGGACTCTGTACTTTAGTATTACTTTGGTTCTGATCGTTGTAAAGCAGATGCCCTGGTAAAGCGGTATCAGAAAACTTGGGAATGTCTTGACCGGAATTAGCAATCATTTCCCAAATTCGACTGTTGGATTTCCATACCAAACTCTCCAATACAGTTTCTTCGATCTGAAAATGTACATGAATTTTAGCTCAAAACATTTTGCTGGATAACAGCATTTTGCTCTTATCTGTTCCCATTTTGCTGGGAAAGCTTGAATATTCAACAAAAAATGTATTGTTCAATATGACATTGATTGAATAACCAGCTAAATTTTCATTATACCTAATGTTTATTGACCGGTCAAAATTTTAACCAGCCAACAAATTATTTACCAGGTTAAAATTATTGAGTATTTTACTCTGGAAAAAAACTCCAAAAATGAGGAATAAAATTTTGATGTCATTTGTTGAAAACTCATTACTGGGAATCATTGTTTTGTTAGTTTTTGTATTCAATTTCAGTTTATTCATTCTTAGATAGAATTGATATATTTTCAATATGAGTTACTGTTTCATTAAAATCATGGCCGCAACATGTTACCAAATAAATTTCAAAAATCTTAACTCTATACATAATTACTATCAAACAAGCAGTGGTTCTAGCACACTACCTTAAGGTATTCCAAAATTATCAACAATTGTACTTGAATAAGGGTTACCTGTTTTATACATTTGAGATCTATTACTGAGATATTCTTTGAACCAATTTAATACATTTCGTTAACGTAATATTTCAATTCATGAAGTAAAAGTTCCTTGTCCATTATCTCAAATGCTCCTTTAGAGTCGAGAAATACTGCCACTACATATTTACCATCTACTTGATGATGAGCAAGTATTTGATACTTGCTTCCATTTAGAACTATTAATTGTAATCAATTTGGCACAAATGAAGTTCTCAAAAGCCAGTTTGATTACCCATAAATAGATCATTTTTATCGAAGTACAAAGTTACTTGATCCAAGAATATCTCCACAGCTGGAGATAAATATGTCAAAGCAATTTTCTGGGTTTCTTTACCGTGGTCTGCAGGTTTCGTCTACTACTGAGGTAGTATTATCAAAGGCGATGAGGTAACAGTCAAAGTTGATCTCATTATCATATTATAAATATTATCATTCATACTATCACCGATGATAATATAATACCGGGGACAAATTCCATCATTGTAATTTCTGCATTGAGAACAGCTCGAGCCTTCAACTGTTACCTCATCCCCTTTGATGTCTGCCGCAGTAGTGGACGAAACTTCAGGCATAGAAATCTGCAGACCATGGCCAAAGAACCTGGAAAATAGCTTTGACACGGTACTCAGTTATTTGTTCATGCACTATGTTTCTTAAATTTTCATTTCGACTATGTATTGTAACACTGATGTATAATTAGTAATGCAGCTCCACTATAAAACTACCTAAATATTGCCTTTATTTTTGAGAGAAAATATGGCAGATCTCCGTTATCAGTTATGCTTTCAAATCCAGGAAACTTAGATTCCACTGGTTAGGTTAGGTCCAAAGTGAATGGGTCTATTCGACCCTTCACCGCAACCCGCAAGGGTTTATTGTGGCTCACACCTATTCACACTCGACCAAATAAACCCAGATTCTAAACGAAGCCGATTAGTTTGTATGGTGAGTGGTCTTTCAGGTCAGATGGTAAGTACGGCTCTGCCGAACTCTTAAAACCTGATTCGGTTCCCAGTGGGGCAGGCACAAAATATATGCTCCGCTGATTCATTGTTAATGGGGTAGTCGGATAGACAAGGTTCAAGATTCCCACCTTGACATCTGCGACAACCTATATTCCACGGGTTTAATACTTTCCTGCTGATTAGTTTGTATAGTGAGTGGTCTTTCGGGTCAGATGGTAAGAGTACGGCTCTGCCGAACTCTAAAAACCTGATTCGGTCCTCAGTGGGACAGGCACAAAATATATGCTCTGCTGATTCATTGTTAATGAGGTAGTCGGATAGTCAAGGTTCAAGATTCCCACCTTGATACCTGCGACAACTTAGATTCCACTGGTTTAATACTTTCCTGAGACCATTTTCTTTGAGAGTTCTTAAAACTGGAAATCTGCTTTCAACAAAAGATAAAATATAGTCATTGGCAGTTCCTAGCCCACTCTTGATATAATGCAGTCGGTGCCAAAGACAATGCACTTGAAGTTCAAATGTTGCTTCTCACCTTTTATAGGTAGTTACTATAAGATAATATTTATTTGATTCAATTTTATTTTTAAAGTTATTTGATTTCAACATTTAAAGTGAGTTAACAAACAATTCTTTTTATTCATTGATTTCATAACACCTCTTCATTAGCATTAGAAGGAACCTATTTTTTTATTTCAATAATTAGTGCTATCTCACTCAAAATTAGGCTTCAGTCCAATTGAATATCATTGTTGATTTCATTCACATTACTAAAGTTATCCAACCATTCATATTCAATCCGTTCCAAGTTTCTACCTTCTATGAAAAACATCATCAGTGTTCATATGAAAAAACTTACCTTATTCAAATATTTAACCATCTCCCTCCATAACTGATCTCTTGTTCGCACTATCAATTCTATAACTTTAACGAAATGAAAAGGCTGCACATCGAAGACATCTAGAAGCCAAGGGAATTTATTTGGAGAATTGTAACAAAACAAAACGATCTCCAAGCAACAGGTAAACATACATTCGTAGAAAAGTCCTTTTTCCACCAAAGCCTACAAAAGTTGAGGTAAAGAAAGTTTTAGAGAAAGTATATATTCCAATCAGATCAAAGCTTACTGAAATATCTGCTCGCATTGTTTTCTCGTTCTGCAAAATATTCTCTACAAACTTATAAAATAATGTAATGCCCATTTGCAATCTACTCTTCGCTTCTTCTTCGCCATTTTGTCCCGCATAAGCTGCTACGAATTTGTCCCCCAGAGAGGTGAGAATCTCTTGAATTTTTTGGCTGGGATCTGTTTGAGTTGACCTGAAAGATACAAAAATTGACACTGTTAACGCTCAAAAATATTTTGCCAAGTGCAGAAAAAGGGTAAACATAATTCATGACTTTTAAAATCATTGTCGATTTTATTCGATGTTTTTTCAAATTTAATTTCGGCAATTTTTATTACAACATACATTTTTTATTAAATTGAAAAAGGAATATTTTTAGGAGTGATTAGGGAGAATGCCTTTTGGCTTTCTACTCCTTCATGTGTGTGTGTGTTTAAGGAGCAGACGTTTTATTGTTGAGCTCTGCTATTTATTAATATTTATGTGGTAACAATTCGTAGCTTCTAGTTTAATTTCATATCAACGGGTAGATAAAGTTTTTGCGAAATACAACAAATTCATTTGAAAAAACTTTACTGCAGTTGGAAAAATGACTGATAAACTTTGTAAAGTGTGTAGTAAACCGGTAAATCGTAAAAACCCCGGTCTGCAATGTGGAAGTTTTTGTACTAGGTTTTATCACGGGCAGTGTATCAACATCGTCGGAACTCAGCTCGATAGCCTCCGAACTGAAGGTGTTTCATGGACCTGCCTAGATTGTCGCAGCCGTCCTCGATCATCTGTTGGAGTTCCGATGCCGCTGTTGATGAACGATTGCCTGTCCAATTGCTCAGCGACGAACCCTCTGGAAGAGATTCGGGAAGAGCTCAGACAGATCCGGGAACAGCAAGCTATGCTTCTCCAGTCAGTGAACTTTTGTAGCAATAAAATCTCAGACTTTGAGAACGAGATATCCAAACTCAAAGAACATTTAAAGAAAACAGACCAAATCCTGAATGAAAATAAAAAACTGAAATCTGATTTAGTAGCTCTACAGTCAAAAGTGAATGACCTAGATCAGGCTTCACGTTCGAATAACCTAGAAATACAGGGTATTCCTAAAAAACGAAATGAAGATTTACTAAATATTGTGGAGAAAATAGGAGCATACATTAACTACAATGTGACTCCTCACACAGTCGATTATGCACTTAGGGTCCAATCAAATCACAATTCTTCAGACACGACATCAAAGAATATAATTGTTAAATTTACGTCTAGGAAAGAGAGGGATCTATTTCTGATGTAAAGACCAAACGCATTAGAAACAATAATTCAGCAAAAATGTCTCTGGATGGAATTTCGGATGCATTCTACATTAATGAGCACTATTTATACTTGATAACAGGAACGAATCTGTTCAATGGAATTTATGACTCCGAAGTTCTTGACCAATCACAATACAATACAATATATTTCGCCGTGACCGTGAGAGTGCTTCTAGTGCAGATCACAAGAAATCTGGTGCGGTACTAAGAAAAATCTCGAGGTTACTCATCAAATTCAGTTACAAAGTGAAGCAGAGGATATATGGATTACTATACACGAATGCGCCAACGCTACAAAAATTCATGTGTGCTGTGTTTATCTCCCACCTAGAGATGATTATGCAAGAACATCCTTCACTTCGAAACTCCAAGAGAACCTTTGTGAACTTTCAGGAGACTCAATAATTATATTTGGTGATTTTAATTTTCCGTATATTAACTGGATGCCCAGTCCATGTAACACCTTTTTCATCTCAACAAATACTGATAATACTAATGCTCCTCTGATTGACGTTCTTTCTTTTGATGGATTCTCCCAATATAATTATGTGCGAAATATCGATGATAGAACATTAGATTTAGTTTTTTCTGAAAATGTTGAATTAACGGATTTGAAAATGAATGATATTTCTTTGGTGAGGGCTGATTCTTATCATCCACCTATTGAGTTTTATATATATTACCAAGAAATGTACCCACTTAATACCAAAATTGAAAAATTTTTTAATTATAAGAAAGCAAATTATGATGAGTTGAATAATTACTTTCATAATCGCGACTGGGAACAGTTCTTTACCAACCTCTCGATTGACGAAGCGGTAACAAAGTTCTATGAAGCTCTTGAGGAAGGTGCTAGATTGTATGTTCCCGAGGTTACTATTAGGAATAAGAGGTTCCCTCTATATTTCTCTATCGATACTGTTAACTGTATAAAACGCAAAAACCTGATGCACAAAAAATGGAAGAAGTATGGCTATCAGTATTATTATGAGGAATTTAAAATACTCAGGCCTAGGAGCAAGAATCTAATCTTCAAAAATTACAAAGCATACATTGATAATATTCAAACAGATATCAAAGTCTGCCCGAAGAAATTTTGGAAATACGCGTCATGTTGTCGAAATGGTGTAGGTATTCCTAATAATTTGAATTTTAATGGTACCATTGCAGATAACGCCAAAGATATTTGTATACTTTTTGCCAACTACTTTCGTTCTGTTTATAGTTCATATCAACAATCTTATAATTTCTCCGCGCATCTTAGCAACAACAATTTGATTCATTCTATCCATTTCACTCCTGAATTAGTGCTTGGAAAAATGAACACATTAGACGTCAATAAAGGTGCAGGAATCGACAGCTATCCATCGTATTTTGTTAAAAACTGTGCAGTCAGTTTATGCCACCCACTCTGTAAACTTTTCAATACATCTATTCAGTCTGGTATCTTCCCAAAGATTTGGAAAACGGCTCTTCTCGTCCCGATATATAAAAACTCAGGCAGTAGAAATCTAGTCATGAACTATCGGGGTATAAGTAAACTCTCTATTTTCAGTAAGGTATTTGAAAGCATAGTTTATGATTCACTATTTTATAGTTTAAAGACCTCACTCTGTCATTCAACATAGTTTCTTCGCTAAACGTTCCATCGAAACAAATTTAGTCATTTACACCGAATATATCTCGAGTGCACTGGACAGCCGTGAACAAGTTGATTCACTGTATACTGATTTCAGCAAGGCTTTTGACAAGGTTGATCATAACATACTCATGTCAAAACTTGCTGGAATTGGTGTACAGGGCGATCTTCTTAGGTGGCTGTCCTCTTATGTGTTTAATCGTAGTCAACTTGTTAGCATCAATGGATTCAAGTCGACGCCCTTCGTGGTTACCTCAGGGGGAACTCCGGGCTCACACCTGGGTCCACTGTTGTTTTTAGTATTCATAAATGACATACAGTCTTGTTCCCTTTATTCTAATATTTTGTTATATGCGGACGACTTGAAAATATTTAAAAAAAATACCTCCATAAGAGACTGTTTAAAAATTCAGGAAGACCTTGCTAGATTTGTAATATATTATGATATAAATAACCTGAAACTCAACGTGGAAAAATGTACATGTATTTCGTTTTATAGAAATCATTCACCCATATTGTTTCAGTATTTGTTGAATAGTATTGCATTAAATAGAGTAGAATATATCAAGGACCTTGGAGTATACTTTGACACAAAATTGAATTTCAATCGCCACGTTGAATATGTCATAAATAGAAGCAACAGAACACTGGGTTTCTTCAATAGAATGTGCAGAGACTTCAACAACGAAGCCGCTATGAAAACTATCTATTATGCATTTGTTTATAGCAAGTTGAATTTTGCTAGCATTATATGGAATCCTTGCTATAATACATTCAAATTGCGTTTAGAACGACTGCAAAATAGGTTTGTTAGACATCTTCATTACCGAATCACTAATGTCTATGTAACTCACGGTATTAATCAAATCCGTAACTATTATAACATTCAGCCTCTAGAACAACGGAGAATCACTTCGGATCTAGTGTTTGGCTATAAAATTTTAACGAATCTTATTGATTCGTTGATAGCAATGATGTCCTTTCATGTACCCCAGAGAAACACAAGGAATAAATATTTATTAGCTACTTCCACATATAACACCAATGTGGGGAAAAACTCTCCAATAAATAGAATTACAGACTCATTCAACAGATACTGTTCCAATTTGGACGTTTTTTCCATGTCCTTACAAATGTATAAAAGTAACATAAGGAAAATATCCAATTTTTAATCATTTATGTTTTAGATTAAGCATTTAGCTGTTGCATTTACCTGTTGAACGCCAGTTTTGTTAGCACAATCTGTATTTCAGTGGATACTTGTTTGGGTTCTTTTACCTGTATGTGTCCCGAATTTAAAATAAATAAATAAATAAATAAAATCATTATTTAGAAAGTGGGAAGCTTCCGATAAATAGAAGAAAAATAAATGAAAAACATCAATAAAACTATTTACAAAGAATTGTAGAACACGCACACATATTTCTCTCAGACTCAAACTGGAAGAAAAAATCCATTTGAAACAAGTATTTTCAAATGTCATCATTGAATTTCAGGTATCATGCACAGGATAAGTTCAATGAATTAAAAAAAAAATTTAAAAAATATTGTTTTTGTCAGATTAAGTGAATCCCTTTAGATAATCGTCAGATTATGAGACAGCATGTCTAAAACATAAAGATGAACAATATATATCTTAATCTGATGGGCATGAGTATTTCAAAATGGCGAATTTTTTTTGCACATTATAATAATGGCCGCGAGTTTGCGTCAGATCGAAATCGTCAAATTATTGAATGAGAGCTTTTTTTGTTGCACTTAACACTCCCTTAGAAAATCTGACGTGCTCGATTAAATTTTTTTTCTTTTCACTTTTAACCTTTACGTACAACCACCCACATCATGCAAACGATCAGATTAACATACCAACATTATTAAAAATACATAGGACATTGATGCTATCAATATCTTACGCGCTCGAGTATGTCCATGCAACAGTATTTTTTTACATATTTAAAAATCTATAGCCGCTTCCCCTACCGATGAAAAGGTATATATTATATAACATTTTTTTCTTCTTATCATCTAAGCTTTGCAACCTAATAGGTCTCAATGACGCTCGAGTAAATCCCCATTTTGCATCGTGAGCTCCCCTGCTATAAGGACAGGACAGTTTTGAAATTCTATTTATCTGAAATTAACTGTGTTTATTTTTAGAAGTCAGATCAGCCATTCACGAGTTTTCAATTGTTTTGAGGATCTGCAAAATGATAAATATCATAATATCAAAAAAAATATTTAAAACTCACCCCAGTTTATTACAATAAATATTTAAAACATTCACAATTCAATTTCTGACAATAATGAAGTTTCCTTACAAATTGATTCCTTATATCATGGAATGTTTCTGGGGTAATTTTGTAAGAAACACTTCCTAAGGTAACCATGAACTCTGAAATAAACTGCAGTTGTGTAACATACACTTCAGATTTCATCACAGAAAAAATCTAAGGGTTTCATGTAATCTAGTGGGTCACCCTTCGGGACCAAGTTTGCTTATCCACTGGTTTAGATAATTGCCACCTAGCCACTTTCAAACCAGCCTGTCATAATTAGGAGGTACCTCATCTTGCTGAAACGTAACATCAATTGAAAACTCATTTGGGTTTGTCGGAAATGTTTCATGAAGTAGGAAACAAATTTGTAAACAGCTGTTGTATGAGTAATTGAAACTGTGGAAAGAAATATAAAAGGTTTGCACCTGCCTAGTTGAACGACTGGGGACAAGTAGAGATAATTTGGAGAGAAGCTCGGGGCTGGTACACAGTACAGTGATAATTTCAAATAGAAGTATCAAGTCTCTGTGTTTTCGGCGTGCCTCGAGAGAAGGTATGTTCAATATGCATTCTAATGCAACATACTCATAGTATAAACGCATCTTGAAGGCAATATATCTCAGAAAATTGTGCTGTACAGTTTCACTTTATGTGTAACGTAATGAGGGGACCAAACTGTGGAACAATAACCGCAACAATAATTGCAACAGCTTTTAGTTCAGAAGTATTTAAGCTCCTACATTGTTCCGTCGAGTGTAAGATGATATGACAGATATCGCAGGCCACCGATTTCTCGCCGATATTTTCGTCGCAGTTTGACCACTCATTTACAAATATTTTACCATTTCCGCTGGAGTATTAATGTGTGAGAAATATCGGTACTAATATTCCTGGACTAATGAACGCTTCACAAATCGGTAAAGTTCTTAACAAAACTCATTAATACAGTTAATTGTATGATTTTCACTAGAAAGGGAAATAAAATATTTTATGCTTGAGAAAGCTATTGTTTAGCTAAACATGCGTCGCGGGTTTTGTGAAACCCTTTATAGTGAAAATCATACAATACTGTATTAACTAATTGTATTAATGAGTTTTAATATGGATTTTCATCAAGTATCGGCCAGTTCTATTCAATTAAGTTCTTATTAAGGAGAACGTAAACAGAAGTCAATTCTATATGAACTATTTAAATGGGGAACACTTACTCGAACAATTGCTTCAAAGTTTCGCTTGGACAGGGAGATCTGTTATTCAGAATGGCTTGCAGGCGTGTGATTTTCTGGTTGGTATTCCTGTCTGTTTGGAAAGGTGATACGTCTGCCTCTCTAGGGCCTAGATATTGCCTACCAGTAAGAGGAGTATCGAAAACATCTGATCCCCTTGGTGTAGCCTGGGAAAATAATCATTGAAAATGTTCTTTTTTGGTGAGAATTGTTTGAACACTTACCACTGCTTCATTATTTCTTGGAGATGCCAAAACTGTGTTTTCACCTGTAAATTAGATGGATTGAAATCAATTATTTACTGAGTGGAATGAAAATAACTACCTGTTTCACGAAACGGTGATGCTCTGGCCCCTTGAGCAAAACAATTCATCTGTTGATGCTCTAACAACTGCCTCCGATATTCAGCTAAAATGACATTAAGAATGAAAATATTTTGCAGAAATAGAAATCAACTACCAACTTTTCTAATGTTTAACATAAAATCAAGTTTATCAGTAACGATAATCTATAAAATAAACCTCACACTCACCTAAAAAAATTCTCTCATCGACCTCAGCTTTGCTCAACAACCGCGTTTCATAGGTGTTAGTAATATTCTTGAAGTTCTGTTCAAAAACGTCCCTGTTCAAAAACCCAATAAAAGTTGATCGGTCTGCCAAAACTGTCTCTGTCAGAACCAAAGTTGACATCAATGTCTTCATATCATACGTTTTCATATGCAGGGCGTCCGTCAACATCGAGGGAGACTTACAAAGATAGCTGATAATGCATGGAGCTTCAGAAGGCACAACGAAATCAGGCTGGTTCCAATTAGAAGGTAATCCCTCAAACTGTGGGTTCAACAGGTCACGTCTTTCAGTCAGGAAAGCATTTTTGAATGCCAAGTCCAAACATGCGTATAATAAATGGTAGGATTTTATCAATTCTGAGCTGTACTGGGAATCCTCACCTTTCAGGGTGATGAATAAGTTCCAAAGGAATTCAAACACTTTTGATGTGTTACATGATACTGGCCTGAAACCATAAACAAATAAGAAAAATGCAAGGTATCCAGAATGGATACCATTTCAACAGAAGAAGCAACTGTGTAGTGAAACGTGTTTTGATTAATGTTTATACTATGAAAATTGTTTAGTTATTAACATGGATAGTGTTATCAATTTTAATCAAGGAATGGGTCAGTGTATTCAAAATAAGTACATATGGTAAGTCAAAAAAACAAACAAACATATAAATAGACAATTACAATTAACCTTAATGTCATGGACATAAAACTTATACAGTGTGTAAAAGCCAAATGGAATAAATTCATTATTTCGGTTACAGTACATATTTTAACAAAATTCCTAAACACGTCAAGTTTAAATTATAATTTAACATACTTCAACAGAAAAATGCTATCCCTACCTTCAAACCCCCCAATTTTTCAAATGGGAAGTATAGGCTTGTGATATATCGTTTGAAACGTCTGTTCATTCTCTATTCAAAAATTTTATCGCTTTCAAGTTTATTGCAACAAATGAGATAAAATAAATTAAAATCATGTGGTTACCGAAATTTGATAAAATACACTCAAAACTTATTGCAATATACCAAAAACTTATTTCATGTTGAGGTATTGATAATAAGAAAGTAAGCAAAAACCATAGCAATGTTCTTTTTAGATGGTATCCTTTAAAAAACTGTAAATAATTTCTGTGGCAACTTGTTTTGTATGTTACAACATTAGTTGTCAATATTTTAATTTAAGTTTAAAGTTCGTTAACTTCAAGTCTGACAAATGATTAGATTAACGGAAATGCATAAAATAACAGTTTTACAAATGATTGGTTAAGAAGATAAAACCCGAACACAACAGGAAGTAGCTCATGTAGTTCATGAGAAATTTCCTAATTTACTGCCCATATCTCAAGGAACAATAAGCAAAATAGAGAAGCAGTTTCGCGAGCTTGGTCATGTCGGGCAGATAAAAAAAGCAGCTGCCAATGCAATGAGTGATGAACTCAGCTTAGATGTGATGCTTGAGTTTGAGGAAAATCTACATACATCGAGTAGACAGGCATCCACTACATTCAATGTTAGTCATACATCAATAGTAAACATATTAAAAAAAAATAAAATGCATCCCTACTCAGGAGCTCATGGAAGACGATTTTGATAGAAAAACTTATTTTGGTGAGCAAATGATGGACATGTTGGATAACAATATCATCCAATTAGAAAACGTTATGTTTTCTGATGAGTGTAATTTGTCTCTTACTGGTCATGCTAATCGGCAAAATTGCCGCTACTAGTCAACGGAAAATTCTTACTGGATGAGAGAAGAACACACGCAATACCCTTAAAATTATGTCATTCCAAGTTTAGCAAATTTATATCGTGATCCAGGAAACCCTCAAGTTCCAGTGAATACGATATGGTTTCAGCAGGCTGGAGCACCACCACATTACCAAGTTAATGTTCGGCAATACCTTGATACACTTCCCAATTGGTGGATAGGAAAGCGAGGATCGATTGAATGGCCAGCACGATCACCTAATCTTTCATCATTAGATTTCTTTTTATGGGGATATATAAGGAGCAATGTGTACAAAACTAAACCTAACATCCATAGTTCTTTTTCGTATTCTACATTTTATTACGTTTTGCATTACATTTTAGTTTTTGAGTGTATTTTATCGAATTTCGGTAACCACATGATTTCAATTTATTCTATCTCAATTGTGGCAATAGGTAAACTTGAAAGCGATAACATTTTTGAAGAGAAAATGAAGATACCTTTCAAACGATACATCACAAACCTATACTTCCCATTTAAAAAATTGGGGGTTGTACCCGCCATTCGAAGGGGGTTGAAGGTAGGAGTGGCATTTTTACGTTGAAGAATGTCAAATTAGAATTTTCATTTGACGTGTTTCGAGTTTTTTTAAATATGTACAATAACCAAAATAATGAATTTATTCCATTTGGCTTTTACACACTGTATAAATGAAAACTACAGACTGGCTTAAATTGTCGTTTAAATATTCCTGCAGGCCGTAAAAGCACTTTTCAATGGAGAAAAGTTCATTCCATTTACAAAACACTGCATCCAATTTAAATCGTCTATATTTTGAATTGGGCTGTCTTGTAGGTGGCTTTCTCAACTGATCACCATAACGGGTTCATGAGAAGATCCATTGTTCAAGAAAAATTACAGGTTGTTTCTGACAAAAACCATACATTTATAAATATACACTGATGAAATATTCAACACAATCCTTTTTATTTAAACTGCTTCACGTCTATTTCGTTATTCCACATTAAAAATCATTCTCATAATCCTTTTTTGTGATTAAACGTGAACTTTTTAGGATATCCATTTTTGAAAACAGTCACCACACAATACATATTACACCTAATAATACAAATTATAGACCTTGGTAGGTAGGTCCAAAGTGAGTGGATCTACTTAACCCACCACTAAAACCTGCGAGGCTTGTGGCTCATACCCATTCAAAATCAACCAAATGAATCCAGTTTCTCAACAATTACTTTGTTTGGTGAGTGATCTTTCCGTCCACCTGGCATAAGTGACTGTCAAATAACTTACCTTTGTTTTCTATTTCGATGTTTAGACTGATCCAAGTCCTGAGAAGTAGGAGGCAAAAAAATCCTAGAGAATAGTGGGTAGTATTCCTTGAAGGTGTTATGTGCTACTCCAAACGTATCTTCAAGATGTTTTATTTTTTCCTTCAAATCATTGTTCAAGGGGGACATTTCTGACCACTTCCTAATGTTGTTGAAAAACTGAACGAAACTAAAAGACAGCCACCATAACACACCTATAAATCAAATTCAAACATGAAACTCACCTCAAGTTACTGTATCTGAGAAGACTTGTTAAGTTAATGCAGTTGCCTCTCACGACGGTGGACAGTAGAGTGGGAGTTTCAACAGACTGGGAAGCAACAAAGACTGCACATCCTAGCCAATGTATGGACTCACCCTAAAACAGTGATTGAAATTACAAATCCAGACCACAATTCAACTTTACAACCAACCTCTAGCACAAAGTTTTTATTGATATCAGAAAACTTTTCCCAAGCAACCGTGGTAGTTCTAGGATCTAAAGACAACTTATTGCACAAATCTAACAGTTTCTTGTTCAGTTCGTCTTCTCCATCCGGTAAGACCATGTTGAAATCGAGCAATTCGCGGGCAGAAAGTTGAAAAAACCTAAGCTCTCCTACACCTCACTTTCTGATAAGAAATCCCTAAATAGGCGGGAAGCAGAAACTTTTCTTATGGAAAATAATCCTTTCATCTAGCTGGCGCGGACACGGCGCGAAAAAGAAAATAGCACATTAACCATTTCAAATCGGTGGGTTTGTTCAAGCGGGAATTTTTTTTGGTATCTTTTTTTGGGATATTTGGGACGAAAATAATATAACCTACAAACAACAAACACAAATACAACAATTTCAGTCCAAATTTGTTCCACGCACAACTTGGTAACTTTTGTTATAAGATACTACTGGATAGCAAACGATCAAAATAAATGAACTACAACATGAAAAATCTCGGAAAATAAAGTAAACAAACGAAGTATTCATACGACAAGTGTTCCCGCCCTTCTACGCGCCCATTGTGATGTCATATGTCACCGTATTTTTCGTGACGTGTGTACGTGACAACTTTGGTAGCGTTCGACTTGGAAACCTATTTGTGAGAAAATCTGGTGACGTCACGAATTATAAAATCTGTTATCTTTTCGGAAAATTGAAAAGCTTCAGGTAAAATATTACAGTCATAAAAACAACTCCCAGATATTACTCTGAACACGAAATATATATCTGAAAGCAGGTTATCAAAAGGTTATCAAATACCAAATGTGTTCGCTTAAGACTGCTCTACAGCTACCGTAACTTGACAAAAGTAAATTAATCATCAAGTATTTTCCTCACTATTATTTGATTTATATTCTTATACGAAGCCGGTTGATTGGTCAAACCACCAACACTGACATAAAAACTTGGAAAGTCGACTTGGGTGACACACCAATAGGTAGTTCCACTTATGTCTCGCTTGCGATTAAGCAGTTTTATTTTCATTAAGTACTTTTCTTGGTTATTCACATTCTGTCTTCAATCGTGTTCAAGTTTACAAGAAAATATCAAAATCACTACGGAGGCAGTTATAGTTACTTGCGTGACATCCGGTCCAGTAAATCATACAAATATGAAGTTTATTGAGTGTCTCGATATAAATGATGAAGTTAATAATTGAACATAGCACTCAAGAAATTGGCAAACAATAGGCACGTGTTTCGGGCTTTTGACCCATCGTCAGTATGGGTAGCCAAGTGTAAGGATGGGCAACACTTGACTCCGTGCATTTATATTTCCCTTTTTTTGGTAATCAAGTGTTGCCCATCCTTACACTTGGCTGCACCATACTGACGATGAGATAAAAGCCCGAAACGCGTGTCTATGGTTTGCCAATTTCTTGAGTGATATGTTCAATTATCAACATCTTCATTTATATCAAGACTCTCAATAAAATTCATATTTGTATGACTTCCTAGACCGAATATCACGCAGGTAGTTATAGCTGCCTCCGTGGTGATTTTGTTATTTTCTTTTAAACTCAAGATTTATCAACCATATCACAAATGTGCAACTGGCTTCTGCTGATGACTCCGTGCATTCTTTTGTTAATCAAGTGTTGCCCATCCTCAAACTTGGCTACAATACTGACAATGGATCAAAAGCCTGAAACACGTGTCTATGGTTTGCCAATTTCTTGAGTGATGTGTCCAATTATTAACTTATTTATTCATATCGAGATACTCAATTAACTTCATATTTGTATGATATCCTGGACCCTGATGTCACGCAGGTAACTATAGCTGCCTCGTGGTGAGGGATAACAAAAATCTCAATATAATTCAATAGAACATAAGAAGTATGTATGCAAATTACCAGTTTCACAGAACCTCATATAAGAACATATGCCTCATGTGATATTGTTGAAAGAAACGTGGTTAAAACCCAAGAATAACCTTCAAATAAAAACTATAACATTATAAGAAAGGACTATTTTAAAAAACACTTCATTTTGAGATTTTCACTAAACAATTTTATAAAAACGCAACACGTGTTTCGAATTACAATGGCTTCTTCGTGTTTTTACTAAGTCAGAAAAGACACGCCCAGAGCTTCCACAAATGAAATACTTTTTTGAACAATACAGATCTACTCTATAATGAAAGAGAAAAACTCAAATTATCTTTGATGAACCTCCAAACTCCAAAATTATACTCACTCATAAAACTGCATAGAGTTATCCGATCAGACCAGAAGTTTATATTGTCACTGCACCAGCCCAAAATCTAAGGGGGCAAGCTGGGGCATATGCCCCGGGCAGCAAGTTCAGAGGGCGGTCAAATTCACACTTCACAGATAACTCATTATTTATTTCACTTTGATCTACACTAGGCACGAACATTATTATTCGCGTTGGCATAGTTCAAAATACAGGCCCGTATGTGGTATAGGACGTTGGCTAATTGCGAAAGGGATAAAAGATCTTGGCTTGTATATTCTGAGACAAAAAAATGCAATATTTTGTGTGTGCTGCAAGATTTACCAGAATCCGTCTTCANTGGATATTAACAATCTTTACGTCGTAAAGTAACTTGGGTTGAAATCTTTTTCAGTTTTTTATTTTATGTTCAAACTTTTTCTGCTTATTTTTATCTTTTTAATTCATTTTCAGTCTGTAGTCATTTTCATTTTGTATATTGATAATTCATTGTATTTTCATTTCACGTTTTATTGCTTAATGAAATTGATATTTTAGCTATCCATTCTAATTTCAATTGTTCTTTTATAAATTTCGAATCATAGTAGAATCATATTCGACAATGGAAGTCCGAACCAATGGAATTCTCCTTTGGACATGTTTATAGAAGGTTGTTCACGTTAAGAAGAGAATGACGTCACAAGATGACAAGTTACGGCGTTGCCAACATGTGCACTATTTCAAACTTTCAAATTTGTACTGTTGATATGTTTTATTGCTATTATCCTTACTTACTTTTAGTATTTGTTGAGACTATTTCGACAATGCTTTAGGCATATTGAATATACGCAGGTCTTATCAAAAGAAATGATTAGTTCTGAAAAGAAAAGAAAGACTGACAGTTTTCGCGTTTTTTCGATTCGGCAACGTCTGAAATTTTACTATCAGTTGAGCAACTTACAAAATGAAATGATACTAGTTTCAATGCTGTTGAACGCATTCCAGTGGGAACTTTAACGTTGTTATGTTGGATATACAAAATTGCCAAAAATGACGTCATTCTCTTCTTAACGTGAGCAGCCTATAGTTCTAAGAAATTTAAATATATCTATTATAAAAATAATAATTCACTTCATGAAATATAATAACAATATATTGTAAAATGGAGGGGGAATACTGTCATTTCTGTTTTTCATCCTCTACTCAACTTTTTGGATCTTTAGTTTGTGTTCTATTTTCCAACAACCTACCTATTCACACAAAAAAAGAAATATAATAGACCGTATTCGTGAGTTCAAAAAGTGATAATGAACTACCCACACGAAAAATTCAGACAAGTTGAGAGCTGCCAACAAGTAATGTTACATATACCGGTACGGTATTACTTCGAGCAAGTCAAACTACCTCCCGACGAAGCCCCTATTATTTATGGCGCACTGGTTAAATGCGCCTGATTAAGGAAGCAACGACCACAACCAGCAAAGAAGAAGAAGAACTAGCTTTCACTGACAGAGAACACCTATATACGTGCTTAGTGCTCACTCTCACTGATAAAGATATATTGAAAATAAACAGAGTGATGTAGGTGAATTTTTTGTTTATTTCTAAGAGCAATTTATATTTTTATCTGAGATCGAACTGAAAAAATGAGTAAGCAAAAACTAATGAAAGACCATAAATTAGATGAGACGAATATGGCCGATAACGTAGAAGAAGCCCGAAGAAAAGATCTTGAAGAAAGAGATGAATTTGCCCATCGTTTGAAAAAACGAGATGAAAATCGTACCAGAAATATTGCACATCCTTCAGGTTCTAAGGCGTACGAAGAAGCTGCGAAGAGACTCAAATTAGAAAATGCTGACCGCGGTGAAATTATTCCCAAGCTTAGGGTGCAATCTAGAAGGAAATACTTGGAGAAACGTAAAGAAGATAAGCTTCAAGAACTTGAAGCTGATATTGCTGATGATGAATATCTGTTCGAGGAAGAGATACTGACCGAAAGAGAACGAAAAGAAAGGTACCACAAGAAAGAATTATTAAAACTTGCAAAGGAACATGAAAAAGCAAGAGAACTTGAGCGAGTGCATCGATATCACATGCCTCGAGATTTAGGAAAAGATTCTGTGTCTGATTATATTGAAGTTGATGAATTAGAAAAAGTTCCTCAATCGGAGCAGAAAAAATGGGAAAAAGACCAGATGGCTTCTGCTGTTTTCAAATTTGGTGCGAAAGATTCTGTCAGAACAGATGAATACGAGCTATTACTTGAAGATCAAATCCATTTCATCCAAGCATTACAAATACCTGGTGTAACAGAGAAAAAAGAGACTAAATTAACAGAGGTACAAAAAAAAAAGCTTAGTATCGAAGAGACAAAAAAGAGTTTGCCAATATATCCTTTCAAGGATGACTTGATTCAAGCTATACGAGAACACCAAATATTAATTATAGAAGGAGAGACTGGATCAGGAAAAACAACACAAATCCCACAATACTTGCACGAAGCAGGATTTACAAAAAATAATAAAAAAATTGGTTGTACTCAGCCTCGAAGAGTTGCTGCAATGTCAGTAGCAGCAAGAGTTGCTCAAGAAATGGGCGTTAAGCTTGGAAATGAAGTGGGGTATGCTATCAGATTTGAAGACTGCACTTCCTCCAGAACTGTTATTAAATATATGACTGATGGTACGTTACACAGAGAATTTTTATCAGAGCCCGATTTACAGTCATATAGTGTTATGATCATTGATGAGGCCCACGAGAGAACACTACATACAGATATTTTATTTGGCCTTGTTAAGGATATTGCCAGATTTCGACCAGATTTGAAGTTGTTGATTTCAAGTGCTACACTAGATGTTGCTAAATTCTCAGAATTTTTTGATGATGCACCTATGTTTCAAATTCCAGGAAGAAGATTTCCTGTAGATATATATTACACTAAAGCACCAGAGGCAGATTATGTAGATGCATGTGTTATATCAGTGTTGCAAATACATGTTACACAACCTCTGGGGGATGTTTTAGTATTTTTGACTGGTCAAGATGAAATAGAATCATGTCAAGAACTACTTCAGGATCGTGTTCGAAGATTAGGTTCGAAAGTTAAGGAGATGATTATTTTACCTGTATATGCTAATTTACCGAGTGACATGCAGGCAAAAATTTTTGAACCTACTCCTCCAGGATCCAGAAAAGTTATACTGGCTACAAATATAGCAGAAACTTCTTTAACAATCGATAACATAATTTATGTTATAGATCCAGGATTTGCTAAGCAAAACCATTTTAACTCACGAACAGGAATGGAAAGTTTAATGGTAGTACCAATATCCAAAGCTTCAGCTAATCAAAGGGCAGGACGAGCAGGTCGAGTGGCTGCAGGAAAATGCTTTAGATTATACACAGCATGGTCCTACAAACATGAATTGGAAGATAATACAGTTCCGGAAATTCAAAGAATGAATTTGGGAAACGCAGTATTGATGTTGAAAGCACTTGGAATAAATGACTTAGTTCATTTTGATTTCCTAGATCCACCACCACATGAAACGTTGGTATTGGCATTAGAACAGCTGTATGCATTAGGAGCTCTAAATCATCATGGCGAACTCACGAAACTAGGAAGAAGAATGGCTGAGTTTCCAGTGGACCCTATGATGGCAAAAATGTTGTTAGCTTCAGAAAAGTACAAGTGTTCCGAGGAAATAGTTTCGATAGCAGCCATGCTGTCAGTAAATGGAGCAATATTTTACAGACCAAAGGACAAAATCATACATGCGGATACTGCCCGAAAAAACTTTAATCATATTGGAGGAGATCATCTGAGTTTACTCAACGTTTATAATCAGTGGAGAGATTCTGATTATTCCACACAATGGTGTTATGAAAATTTCATACAATATAGATCCATGAAACGTGCACGAGATGTTAGAGAGCAGTTGGTAGGTTTGATGCAGAGAGTAGAAATAGAAATGGTTAGCAACATAACTGAAACAGTTAATATACGTAAAGCCATAACCGCCGGGTATTTTTACCACATCGCAAAATTGTCCAAAGCAGGAAATTACAAAACCGTGAAGCACAATCAAAGTGTTACCATTCATCCAAACAGTTCACTGTTTGAGGAGCTCCCTAGATGGATTTTATATCATGAATTGGTGTTCACCACTAAAGAATTTATGCGACAAGTTATAGAAATAGAGAGTAAGTGGTTGCTAGAAGTTGCACCACATTATTACAAGCAGAAAGAATTGGAAGAAACAAATTTGAGAAGGAAAGTTTGAAAATTTTTCTTTGCAGCGTTTATCCTTTACAAATATCTTCAGTGAGGATGTAGGTAATATTTTGGAGTCGCAGCAAAAACTGACCTCAAGGTCCTCACAGTAAATGCAGATAGCTTTGAAGATATCGCCGCAGTAGCAGACAAAACATTTGATACTGAAAGTGTAAAGACAAGTAAGTCTGGTTGAGACAATCTATTTTCTCACGAGATTCAAATATGTTTCTACTTTGAGATAAATATTGTATATTGATTCAATTTTCTGCAATAAAACATAATATAAATTGAGAAATGTCTATTTTATAACAAAATTACAAAGCTATGTAACAAGTATATTATGACTTACACATAGATATATAAAACTCTAGAACTATAAATAGTAAATATGTTTGTTTTATTCTACACAGAGGTCAAATGGTGCTTAGTATAACTTAGAAATCAAAACATACATACAAAAACTTTCTAAAAAACAACAACCCATACTCTAATAATTATGTTATCAATGTAACTTGATTGAAGAAAAATGAATTAAAATCATTGAAATAGATGTAACAACATATTTTAATTTCGGTATTCGGTAACAGCTAAAAATTTGTTTATGCAGATACTCAAAATTTTTTGTCAAAATATTTATTTTCGTGTACGATGTATCTCTCCTCAATACAGTATTCAAACTTATTTTGATTTCTGTCAGAGAATTAATACAGGGGATGTTTCTTTCCCACTTGAGGTTTGGTTTATGAGATAGAGCAGTTACTAGTTAACAATCTTTCTCTTAGACGAAAGTTTCATACTTGCAGTAGAGCTGCATTGAAATTAATTCAGTCCCAAGCACTGATAAGAGGTACTACTTAGAAACCGGTGTGTAGGTGATCTATTTGACTGATTTTAGCATGGTCCTGCTGATTGATGAACGAGAAACATCTACAAGGCTCACTTTTGAGGTATCTCACATAAATTGATGTCGGATATAATTCGATATTTGGCATGGTATCAGCAGGGGAAGTAGTTGTTTTATGGCGGGTATTTACCAGAGCCTACGGTGTAGGTACTTTGGGAGAGATGAATGTTTCGAGATTTCATTTCCATATATTCATTTTCTTATAATATATTTCCATCAATTGTACCACTCAAACAAATTGATGACGCGTCATAAAATTAATTAATTATTGACTTATCACAGGGTTATCATTTATTCTAACCAAGAAATGACAGAAAATTATTTTTCCGCCTACCTCTATCCAAAGTATACATTTCCTGGCCTCATTGTAGGGAGCAAAGTCGTACTTTTCCTCACTAGGGAGGAAAAGTAAAAGTGACGTCATGGTACATAATCAATGAAATAATTTATACGGCATTGACAACCTAAACTATATTCTATTATATAAATATAAAGTTTACCGTTTATTTATAGAACAACCTGTATTTTGCAATATGGTATAAATTAGTAGGTATTTTAATTTAACGATTTTTTCATTGATAATTTGTTAGATTCATAGATCCATCCGGTTTTCGAATTTATGACAAATTTTATAGCATGCTATGGTCGTTTGACAGTTTCAAAGTGTGATTCACCATACATAATAGGTACCTATATCTGTAAAATATTAAGAATATTTTAAAAATGAGTGATTCAAGCGATTTTGAAGATATAAATAATACACCACCGGATATTTTGGAACAAGTTAATGTAACGGTACAATCTTTATTGCCCCAAAAATCTAAAGATAAATACGAAAAACAATATTTACATTTCAAGCGATGGGCCGAAGAAAAGCATATTCGTATTTACTCAGAAAATGTTATGTTGGGATATTTTTCGATATTAGCAAATACACTAAAAGCCTCTACATTGTGGTTCAAGTATTCGATGCTACGTAACATGCTTCAAATAAAAGAAAATATGGATATTAAATATCCAAAATTAATTGCTTTCTTGAAAAGGCAAAACCAAGGATATAAACCTAATAAGGCAAAAACCTTCTCAAGAGAGGAACTAAATACATTTTTATTAGAAGCCCCCGATAATAATTATTTATTAATGAAGGTAAGATATTTTCGAGAAGTAAATATATTTAAAAAATAAAAGTTAAATATTATAAATAGAGCTAAAGCTTTATGCTATGTTTATGATTCCGCAAAAGTAGTTTATTAGGCTCAGTAGCGCAGTGAGTTGGTGCACCGCTCATTATTCATGACGGCCTTGTAGTTTTTGGTTCGAATTCAGAGTCGACAGTTTTTTTTCTTTTTTTAAAATTATTTTTCTTTGTTTTGTAGGTTCTCCTCATTTTCGGAATTTCAGGAGCATGCAGGTGTGACGAGCTCCTTAAAATGGCCACTACAGATATTGAAGATAAAGGTTCAATATTAATAGTAAATATACCAAATTCTAAAACAAATATTCAGAGAACGTTTGTAATCAATGCTTCACTGGGGAATGGCCCTAATTATATTGATATTTATAGAAAATATATATCGTTACGCCCTAAAATAGATCAGACACGTTTATTTGTCTGCTATAGAGCAGGAAAATGTATCAACCAAATGGTTGGGAAAAATACTATAGCTAAACTTCCTACAAAAATTGCAGAATTTTTAAAACTGCCTAATGCCATAAATTATACCGGGCATAGTTTCAGAAGAACCTCGGCAAGTTTACTTGCAAATTCTGGAGGAGACATTCTTACTTTAAAGCAACACGGAGGTTGGAAGTCTACAAATATCGCTGAAGGATATGTGCAGCAATCTCTTGCAAAAAAGCAAAAAATTTCGAACCTAATTATGGGAGTCACTAAAGTTAATGAAACTGATTGTAATCAGCCAAGTACGAGTATTTCCGAGGGATACCAGCTGTATAATAATATAGTTAGTGAAAATATCACGAAAACTGCGTTGGATCCAGCTCAGTTTTAGTGGTATTCAAATAACCACTGCTCAAAACTGCACGTTTAACATCACTATAAATAATTACTCTAGCAGAAATTAAAAATATGTACGATGCAAGTATGAAAATACCGTCCCTATGAGTTATACTGTACCTACTTCTCAGTTTTAGTTCTTTAATAAATTTTGTTTGTAAGTTTCATAAATAAATTATCTTTTTGGTAGTTTCATAAATAAATTATTTAAAAATTTGAGGGAGGCGGAAAAATCATATGTATAACATGGGGGTAAAGTGAATTTTCCTCCCTTGAATGATTACTGCCCTCCGCTACGCGTCGGGCAGTAAACTTCATTCTCGGGAGGAAAAGTAACACTTTCCTCCCTTGTTATACAAATAGCTATTACCCTGCATTCAAATTAATTTTATTTCCACAGTTCATTTCTGATTTTTGCAGTCATTATAAAACAACTACATTTTTTTATTACAAGATGAAAATTCGCGAAATGAATTGTACTCAGTGATCCAATTGAATAGGAATTAGATCTGAATTACGTCTCATGGCCTCGGAAGGCCGATAATCTCGTGATCAATGAAAATCCTTGTTGATTGGCTGACTTAGTCCAATCATGAATATTGTTCTTGTAATGAAATTCTACCCACACGGTTTTTCCTATCATTTTCTCAGTAAAACATTTGCTATCACGACTTCCTCAACATTTATTTATTTATACGCGATAAACCCCGGAATGTTTCTGCAGCACACAACTATATAACATTATAAAATACTATAGGGTATAGAATTAAAATTAAACTTGTTACTACCTTATGTAAGACAAGTAAGTCTGGTTGAGACAATCTATTTTATTTGCATATTTTCCTTGTCACCCGATTTGAAAAAAGGAAATAACAAATTTTTGAATGAATTTTGCAAGCACTTCTCAAGTCAGAGAAGACTTGATAATCTTGGTCACTCCTGCTAAGCATACAATTTTTGTGGGCTAATTTTTTTTGCTTCACCAGGTATCTTGGATCTGCATAAACCATTTGGGAAAAGTTGACGTTTTGAATCTTTTCACATAGGTGCAAACAAGGCTATTGCCATATTCAAAATATGATGGTATTCAGTGGTTGCCTCATTTATATCGGCCAAATTTAGGCTATCATTCCAATTTATGGCACTCAAATAGTTATTGAGACCTCGGTAATCTGCATTTCTAAAGTCATAATAGAATTCTGTGTATTCTAAGTTATGAGTTGTTTCATAATTAAATATATTAAAAGTATAACTCATACGGTGCATGCTATTTGAAAAAAGAGGGTCTATTGGTGTTACTATTTCTGAGTTGTGTACATTTGTGAAGATTAAATCTAAAAATATGTTCATCTGATATTTTTATAAAATTGTCATTACCTTTTAGATTTATCATGTACCCGAGTCCAAGAAACAATTTTTTATTTTCTCAATTTACCCAGCATCATATAACTAATAATAGATATGCTTCATTGTCAAAAGGACAATCATGTTGACAAAGCCAACGACAATTATAACATTGAAATGAATATTTTCTTACAGTTTTCATACACAATTTTTTCAACATAACATTAATTTCTGTGTGATATTATTTTTCATATTCCATGCAACTTTCCATATATCATGAATTCACAAACACTCTATCTACATTTTTTTTTACTCTTCTCACTGTGTAGGTATAACTTTCTATATTCTGAGCACACTGAGTTCACAAACTCATTTTAAATTTTTCCTGCTTAATCAGCTAGTTCAATATCTTGCATTAGTTTTCAGATCAGCTAACACCCTATTTTATTTTCTGTGAAGTATAACATGGTGTTAAAATTTATATTTTCACTACACCGTAATTTTCTAAATGTCAAGAACCCTCGAGTCCCCCTTTTTGTAATTTCTGCATTTATCGATTTTTTTTTACCAACCTCCATTAATCCTCATTTCAGCACGTCATATCCAAGACATATCACCATTGCACCAAGTTTAATCGTCTAATGAGGAGCTAGTATGGCAATCGATTGACATAAAACATATGTAGGCCAGACCAACAGACGTGTGATAAGTAGAGTATACGAACATCAACTTGTTGCCCGAAAGTCAGACCCATCCTCAACCCTGTCCAAACATCATCAAACAACACAATATTGACTTTGTGAACACTAAGACCATCGCCACAGCGAAAACACTACCAGCTCGGATAATTCGCGAGGCCATCGAAATCGAAAAGCGACCTTCCTGCCTGAACACACGTGTTGACAGTCAGAGACTTCCAACTATCTGGAAACTCCAAATTTCCCGATGTCCATCCCCTACCAAGACGGCCGGTGATGGTAATCACCCGAAGCCCCGCCCCCCACATTTCCACTTCAGTAGCTCCCATCGATATTATTTCAGAATATGAATTAATTTCAAATTTTTTCTTCGGAAATTATGACCTCTGAAAATGCTGATATATTTGAGTTAAGAAATACTTTGGTACTGAAATTTGATTTAGAGTTAGGTGATACTTGGAGGTTTCCCATACTTCAGTGTAATCTTCAATACAGGGTGGTAAAAATATACAGTTTTTTCCTTTGCTTGAAGAAGTGACTGAAAGTTCGTTATTTCAAATGGAACACCCTGTATATTATTACAAATTCAGAAAGCTGTTAAAACTTGCTTTCTTTCTATCAAGTGTATATGTTTTGGACTTATGAGCATTTATTTGTGAAAATGTCCCTTCATAATGGTATTCTCATTTGGTATTTTGTAAGCAGCCACGATCACTATTTGACAGTAACGTTGTGACATTCTAATAATATTGACATTTTCGTCACTTCACAAGTTTCAAAATACCTTCAAAACATAACTATTAAAATGAAGTTCTTATGAATTTGTTTATTATTTTTGGACAGTGTGGTAAAATTATCAGTACGACATGTAGAAAGTTCAACGAAAGGTATATGCATCTCCCGCAAATGAACCTCGAGAAATATATACGAGTTCAGAATAATTTCAATGCATTTGGATTAACTTTAAAAGGATCAAAAAAACTTGCCTCGATCCATAACTTCTGAAGACAACCAAATTAATGTCTTAGCATATTTTCACGCATTTCCCGAGTCATCGATAAGAAGTGCTGAAGAAGATTTGGGTATAAAATATTCATCGATTCAAAGAATCTTGTGAAGACATTAAATGCATGATTAAAAATTCACCAAAATTAAAGCAATGAAGCCTCAAGACCCTCAACAGAGTTGAAATTTGTGAAATGTTGACAGGCATTCAAGAAGATCCTTTTTTAAAATAAAATTAGTTGAACTGATGAAGCGTGGATAATTTCACATAAACATCACTATCTAATGTCTAATAATAGCACTAAGAAAGCTACTCTCAATAATCAAACTCCAAAAGAATGAACATAACCATGTTTCGTTTCACACATTCAGCTGAATTTACATACACATCGGTACAAATTTTTAATTTTTCCATTTTGAGATGATTCTCGCATTAATAGACGGCGTGTCAACAAACAATATAAATGTCAGAAGATTGCTGGTAGATATACTAGTATTACTTTAGGCGAGTCCTTAAATTGAACAGAAATATTGTTATGGTTTGCTTTCACTAATAGAAACGTACTAACGTTTCAAATAGACTAATTCATGAATTTATTGGACCAATCTATTGTTTCATCTATGAATTCAAAATCTTGTCTTTTTCTAATATGTAGCGTTCTCCACTGATAAAAATTAAATTAATATATCACCTATTTAAGGACTGAGTTACACCATTCTGCACCAGTTTTTCTAATGGAAAACGCTAAACATTTCAATAGAAGAAGAATACATAATTCATAAATCCTAACCTTGTTGATTTATTTTTGCATATTCGATTCTTTTTTAAATCATGCGAATAACAAATTATCTTTTTACCAGAGTCGGAAAATGGTCGAAACAATATTCCAATTTGCCAGACAGGTATATTAAAAGGGCGATGGAGCAAGTTTATTGGAGAAATCCAGAAGGAATACAGTACAAACCAAACACAGTAGTTCAGCGTAAAAAATTTCTATTTTCAGTCCACAGGCCTTGGACTGCACAATTCAGGCAAGACAACGCCCCTGGAAAGCTACATGCGAAGATTTTTGTGGAGCCTATAAAAGAGTGGAGCCACTTTCGTGGTGACAGAGTTCAAATATTAGTAGGTACGAATGAAACCACTTTTTTCAGTGTCCCCTATAATGTTTGGAAAAAACCTTGTGCATTTCTACTTCTTCATTATATAAAAAGTGGAAAAAACTTGGAAAACTTAATCTCTAGGTATACTTCGAAGTTTTGGATGTAAACTAGTAGTCTACTATTCTTAATCTGCACCTTTAAGGATAACTTTGAAAGATGGTACACTCAGTCCTTGCAAAAATGTCATGACTTTGTCACTGGAAGAGACATCTGCTCTTATTCCAAAGGCAGTTTGTAGAGAACACAACTATACACTTGGTTAATTCAATTCCAGCCATTAAAAATTTTGTTTAATTGAAAAGGGAATATGTTTTTAGAGATTAGTTTTTTATATTTCTTCAAAAGTGATACTCGTAAAAATTATGCTTTTTTCAATTAAACTGAATATCTGTGGGTGGGATTATATTAATTAGTTGTATTAATCTATTTTACGAATTGTTGTAGTGACAAGAGTAGATCTATCTTCTGCAAGTTTTGACTGAATCATCTTTCAAAGTTATCCAAATCTAAAAACGAGTTGAAGACGAGTGCTTTAATAATAATAGGTCTTTATTATTAGACAAGCTGTATGCATTAGGAGCTCTAAATCATCATGGAAAGTTACTTTGAATCTAGGTAGAGGTAAATGAAAACGGTTCTTAGTTCTATGTAGTATCATATTGCTGAAATTTTATATTTGTTTTTAAAGTTGATGTGTTTTTGAACACATATTTTTCGGGTTTGAAGGCCAGGGAATTTTGGAATTTCTTCCTGACATTTCGCTGGCGTGAGTGGCTAGCTTCTTCAGAGGTTTGTACATCCTGGGTTAATATCTGATTACTGAATATTACGGTTTCGTAACGCGTATTTATGCTGAGTCACGTAGTTTGAAGTGCTAATACCTGTACCTGCATTAGGTAAATTTCATAAAGCGTGTTCATATTGACTCTGGTAGTTTGGTGTGATAATACCTGTACCTGGATTAAGTATATTGTTAGTAACATTTGTTGACCTTTTTCTATCTGCCATCATGCTGTTTGCTATTCTTGAACTTCTTAGAATGGGATTCCATATTCAATTGAGATACACCGCTTCTTCTTTTCTGTTAAAATTATCCGTGTATTTGTGGATCTCTATTGCCTCCCGTACCATAGCTGACTGGTATGGGAGGCAATAGAGATCCACAGATATTGAAAAGTTATCTGCATAAGCGGTATAATGACCTTCGGAAACTACTGATTCAATATCATTCAAATAGAGAACAAACAGTAGACGACCCATTGTCGAACCCTGTGGTACACCCCTACTTAGATTCACACACTCAGAATTAACTATAAATTTCATGCATTCTATTGGCTTGCATTGACACAAGTTGTTTCTACTTTTAATTAAGAAGTTAGGTCAGCCAAATGAGAAAAACATTTCTTATACCATACATTTCTAAATTTGAGATGAATTTTGTGGGTGCTACCTTAATCACGGCTGGTCATTTCCCTCTGTTAACATAATCTAGTACCGTAATAGAGCAATAATTTTCCATTGATGTTAGTTCTCCTTTCCCAGTGTTTAAATGATATGTGAAAATACTTATGTGAATGACAATTGCAATTCTTTTCAATATGAACAAAGGTATATTTCACCTGAGTCTGATGATTTTTTATTTCTTTCTAATTTATTATTATTTAAAGATATAATCAATTCATTCTCTATGTGAAGATTGAAATCCCCATCACTTTCAAGTGCATCATTAGTAAAGTGTATTCGATTCAACATCTCAGTAGAAGTCTTGATAAAAATGTATTAAACATGAAAGAAATAGTTTCTGTGTCCTCTATGAGCTGGCATCCAACCATATATTTATGTTCTATGTTTATTTGTAGTTTTTAATACCACATTCCACCGGTCACGAGGCATTATATATCTATTTTGGTAATATTTTTTCTTTTTTTCTTTAAAGCTTGTTAGTTTTCTTTATGCCTCTTTATAAACTGGTGAGGAAGTTGAATAATTATTCATTGAAATAAACAAGTCTTTCAATGATGTACCAGAATATAACTAATCATATACCCATCATTTATTATTCTCCTTGTTCTATAGAAGTTTTCCCAATGTTTTTTAATCAAACACTTCCAATATTTATTATGTTACTTTCTTTGAAGTTTCGGTTTATCTCAGGTTTGATGTGAGATTTTATCCTTATTAAAATTCTATTTCTAATAGTGCTAATCTATGACCAGAAATGTTCTTGTGATGCACTGTTTGGGACCTTTGGTGTAGTAATGAATATAACTGGAGTTTTATCCCAACACCAAACCGTTATTTTAACACCTCGACACGTGTTTCGATCACCAAGTAATCATCTTCAAGAAGATCAAACTTAATATACATACAATGTTATCCTTATTTATACCATAGATACCTATGCTAGGTACCTACGTCTTAACTGTCTTAATTTAATTTTACAATGTGGCCCTATGTAATAGTCAGGTAAGTCTGATAATTAGGAATCACACGTTGAAAGGTAAGATCTCGTTGATCCTTAGCTCGCACACGTCTCGATTTTTGAGGGTTGTCGTTCGTAGGGGTGCGACAGCGGGTTAACGGAAAAACAGATTTTTATATAGTGTACTATTAGGTATTGGTCCAACATCGTTATTCATAATATTATTGTGTTTAATTATTTCTACACTCTCATAGGCATCTAGATGCCTGTTGTTGTTAACTTGTCTAACTAATATTAATGAACTGAAGTCTATGGAATGGTTTTGTTGCAAAATATGATGGGCGACTGTTTATTTTTCTGGTCTTCCATATTTTAGGTGTGCTAAGTGTTCCCTATATCTTATATTAATAGATCTATAAGTTTGCATTTGCATCGCAGTCCTTACATTCAATTTCGTAGATGTCAGAAACATAGCAAGCAGCTCCATTAGAAAATTTTTATTGTGGATGTGGTATCTGTTACTTGGGTAGACTAACTATAAACGGAATTGAATGAAAACAAGATAAAACTGTACATAATGAATTGAAGTTTTCAATATATACATTTACATTACATTCATTTAGTTTCCATAATTTGTATCAAATCAATAATATTCCAAATTCAATTAAAGTTTACTTAGATTTAATTTTTTCATCATTCATAAATATGTATGTTCAAAATCCATCGAACCCAATTTTTCAAAATACATTACATCATTCTTCGGTATGTTTTAATTTAAAAAATGATACAAAGAATATCTAAAATATGATGAATATTTTTATGACTTTGTAAATAGAGATTATATGGGCATGAATGATATGCTGCCCTTCATATCTTGTTTAAAAAAATCTGTTTAAAATCTGTTTTTCCGTTAACCAGCTGTCGCACCCCTACGAACGACAACCCTCAGAAGTAGAAACTTGTGCGAGCTAAGGATTAACAAGGTCTTACCTTTTAACGTGTGATTCCTAACACGGGTTGGATGATAGCAAGTGAAAATCGATCGTTCAGACTAGGGTTTGAACCACCGACCAACACGGCAGTCAATTCGAGTGAGTGCAGCAATGGACATCAATGATACCTTAAATTTGACCTTATTGCCATCGCTCATGGTTTTCTCATTTTCAAGCATAGAACCATAGAGAATGTGCTTTTTATCTTGAGATATAAGTTTAGGAGTTGTGTAGAAGTTTCCCACTTCCTGTATAATGATATAGAAGTAGAAAACCAAAAGATTTTTTTCAAAAATCTTTCCTAAAAACATATCCTATTTTATTCTACGATAATATGTGTTTTGTTATGATAAGCCTCACTACATTTTTTTTCATAATTTTTTCCACATCATTTGTTACAGGCAAGGACAAGGGAAAACAGGGTGTCATCAAAGAAATTATTCAAGAACGGAATTGGGTCATTGTTGAGGGACTGAATTGTGAACTCAAACAACTGGGCCAAAAAGAAGATTTTGCAGGTGTTTGGATAAAATCTGAGAAACCTTTACTGGTAACAACGGAAATTTCGTTAGTTGATCCCTCTGATCTTGCCCCAACTCCCATTGAATGGAGATACACTGAAGACGGGCAAAGAGTAAGAGTTTCCACCAGGACAGGAAGAATAATACCTTTTCCTGCTTCTATGGAGGAAACAATAGATTATAAGACTAAAGGTACCTACAAGGAACAACCGAAAGATACCACTGCTGATGCCATTAGTGAAATTACCTTTGAACCTGCCTTGAAGACATTTGAAATGGATATCATGGAAAAAATGGGTATCAGAGAAGAAAGAATCCCACCTAAATCTTATTGGTACTGAAGGGTGTTTGTTGATTGATGTTTTATGTCGACTGACATATACGAAATCTTGATGTTCTTTTCTCTGAAAAAGGGTTAGAAGGTCTCATTTTGAGAGTGTCAAAATGAAAATATAGATTTACATTATTGTTTGTAACTTTTTAGTATGATATACACCTTTCTTACTGTTTTTGACTGTATAACCTGCCAGAATCTGAAAAAGCAATTCAATAGATAATCTGCATAAGCAAAATCTAAAAAAAGATATACTTCCTGTGACACACACTTCTGTATAATATATTTGCATTTTGAGGGATGTTTTCTTGGAAATATTAACGAGTTTGCCTTGATTCTGGATTCAACATCCACAGCCTTATGACATCTTGTAATTACAATTGGGGTCTAAAGTCCTCTCTCTGAAGTATTTACACAGGTCAAATGATTATACATCTACCTTTATAAAACCCATTCCTAACCACCATCGTTGCCATTACAACGCCAATTCAAAATTCTAACAGCTATAAAGTTGGGCTTATTTTTCTCATTGAAGAGAAAACTGGAAAAATATTTTTTGTGATGGCCAGACAAACAGATACAGCGATCCCAGGAACTCTTACTTTACTTTTTTAAGAATGAACTGAAAAATGTCTATATAGTTTCATTTCCATCCCAGGCACTATTTTTATGTTAGTAAAATGTTACAATAGATACAGTGGGTGTTCATACGGTTCACAAAATCGGTTTTATAACGCTACTTCTTTTCCAAAAGGTTTGGCTTTAATAACAGTTTGATAACGTTAGATGAAAATTATGTTTACACTGGCATTAATGTTGATTTGGTAACATCAGTTGTTAGAAATCCTCCTTTAAAATGCCGTGAAAACGTCCAATTTTTCAATTTTGGTTGTCATCTCATTTGCTTAGGAATCAAATATTTGGAACTTTTTTTCATACGGAGAAACATTTAAATTGAGCTATCAAATTAATTACTGGGAAAGAAAGTTTTTGGCTGTCTACTACCTACTCCATCTTAATACAAAAAAATGTGGGAATCTTCCAAAGAAAGGAAGGAAGCAATTTCAAAAGAAGTAACATATAAAAGTATTTGTTTCGAAAGAATTTTTTTTTTCGTGTAATTCAATGTTTATATGAAAGTAGTAAAGACGATTTATTACGCGCCAATGTGTGGCCGAATACACAAACATTGGGACAAATTCCCTTTGATGTCTCGCTAAAAAACCGACAGAAGACGGCCAACTCCCAACGTTCGAGCCAACGTTGGCGCCAACAGGCACCGTCACCATAAATCTCGATCCACACATTGGACGAGCGTAGTTGGCGCCAACATTGGCCCCAATGTGCGGTGCCGGTCTTATGGTTGTGTAGACCAGGCATTATCCTTTGAATGAAAAAACAAGGCAATTGGCATAAAAAGTTTATTTGTAAAAAGTAAAACAAAATATACATCACAATATTCACAATCGCACGTTGTAAAGAGAAGAGTGGAATACCTTTTCCCCGCAATTGTACCAAAAGTAGTGTTTGAGAGTGTTTTCAAAATATCAACGAAGAGTAATAATTACTTGGTTCCACCGAATTGAATCGTGCCCGAATATTCATCTGATTCTCGGTCAACAAGTAGTGGAAAGACGATCTCATCTTGTTTCCATTTCTTTTCCTTACCTTTTATCACCTACCTCACCAGAGCGAGAGAGAAAGATGAAAGGAGAGAACGCTTGATGCCGACAAATAAAAACGGGTGAGTCTTTATAAACTGTTTCCATGGCATCTGAATAATAATTTACGCAATTATCAATCGCACAAACAACTGTAACAAACTATAGAGGAAATGATAGTGTGATAATTTGTAGAGCGAGTTTAATTTTGAAGAAGATTAATTCATGTGCGAAGTTCCCAAGTCAGTTTTGGGTCTAAAATTATTTTTTTTTCAAGGACAAAACATAAGCACTACAGGAAAATCCTTGAGGCGCTCTAAGATTGGTGAGTTTTCAATTGAAGAGATAATTGATATTGAAAAATAAAGGTCCAAGTTCAGAGCTTTGGGGATGTTCCTACAATATTTATTTGGATCATATCTTTTATTGTCGAGAACAGTAGTTTCAGAGCGGTTTGAGAGACATGATTCAACCTATAATGATAAGGTTCACCTCGTGTTTCTATTCCCTTCATTTATTTACGTTAGCACTAGTTCATATACTTCACTAGGTCAGAAGTGAGATCATCAAAAAGTCTCATAGTTTTCGTTTGTCATTTCACATACAGCAAATCGAAGCTGTCCAAAGAAAGTACTTGAAATTCTTGTCTTTTCGCACTACAGGTATTTACGCCCAAAGGGGAATGGACTATTCCATCATTTTGAACCAATTTAATATTATATCACTGAATACACCTAGACTTCTCATTACGGTCACATTTCTATGTAATTTAATAAATAATAATATCTCCTGTACTCCGCTCCTACAAAAAGTAAATTTTTATGTACCACGTCTCAACTCAAGATACGAGAAAATATTTCATTGCCAGAGTGGTAGAACAAATGTGAATATCGAAGCACCAGTATATTTAATGTGTTATAATTTTATTATTAGTACCTATGTAACATGTGTGACATTAATGGAAACTCTTTGAACTTTATAAAATAAAACATAAAACCTTTCATTTAGTTTTTTATATAACTTTCAATTGTTAATTCATTTATAATATGTTAATTGAATCTNAAGACCTCGTTAGTCCTTAGCTCGCACAAGTTTCTCAACTTCTGAGAGTTGTCGTTCGTATGGGGGCGGCAGCTGATTAACGGAAAAACATATGTTAAACAGATTTTAAACAGATGACTATCATCTCCTGAGGATGCTGACAACGTCGAGAGTCAACATTTTTGTTCTAGTGTGAGAAAAATGTTTTCAATAGATTCATTTCACGTCAGGGGATCCAAATTCTATTTATAAAATTGAGTATGATTCATATTTTTTGACAAACCTCGTATACGACTGTAAGAATTTGATAACTGATGGTTGTGTTCCAGGTGTAAGTTCTTGCAAAACTTCATGAAGAATAACTTTCATCTCTAAAAATAATAATAAAAAAAAGATTTCCATATGCGGTTTTTCCAGTGAGGTTTTTCACGTTTTACAATCTTCAGAGAAAAACATTTCTAACCTTCGAAAATGGTTCATTGATTACTATTTGGTCGAGTGATTATCAGGACCATAATGACAAAAATTATAATTTACCTACCTGATGATCATCAATTCACCGAAATTGGAATATCAATTGGAATATCAATTGTTGGTTGTTATGCTATGCTAGTTGCACACACACCGATTTTGGACGGCCAGTATAAAATCGGCCGATATTTTATTGGTAGCGGGTGCTTGCACACTCACCGGATTTTTATCCGGTCAAACAATCAGTTGCTTTGTTGTCGTAATTAACACGCACTACCAAAACGAAGTTAATGCGTAGTAACTACAATTTCACCGAGCATTCGAGACTGGAATGGTCGGTAAAAAACCGGTGAGTATGCAAGAGTGTATTTAGTCATGTACGCCACTACTTCCCGGTACTGCCGGCGATACAGTGGCAGAGTGGACGGCTGCTCACCGGTATTTTACCGGCGATGATCACCGGTCGGCGTGTGTCCAGGTCCCGTTCCCACATGTGGTTCACTATTGGAATTTGGACGACCGGTACAAAGTCGGCCGTCTAAAATCGGCCGATATTTTATTGGTAGCGGGTGCTTGCACACTCACCGGATTTTTATCCGGTCAAACAATCAGTTGCTTTGTTGTCGTAATTATCACGCAAAACGAAGTTAATGCGTAGTAACTACAATTTCATCGAGTATTCGAGACTGGAATGGTCGGTAAAAAACCGGTGAGTATGCAAGAGTGTATTTAGTCATGTACGCCACTACTTCCCGGTACTGCCGGCGATACAGTGGCAGAGTACGGCTGCTCATCAGTATTTTACCGGCGACGATCACCGGTCGGCGTGTGTCCCAGGTCCTGTTCCCACATGTGGTTCACTATTGGAATTTGGACGACCGGTACAAATTCGGCCGTCTAAAATCGGTGTGTGTGCAACTAGCGTAACGTCAAATTTGTTTTGATAATATTTGAGAACACGCTTGTTATATCGTGAGTAGGACGATCTCACCGGTATCAGATTACCAAGATAACGACTTCCAAGACTTTGAGTCAGCAGAGTCAGCAGAACGTGATA